TGGTCCCTGTGAGACAGCACATTATGGGACCTAAGGGGGCAAAACAACCTCCTCAAGCTGAACCATCTGGCACTGGTCATTGAGGAAGGACCCAAGCCAGCTCAGCGCTATGCCTCCAGTCCCCAGCCCTGAAGACCAGTCCAGGGGGATACTGTGGTCAATAGTATCAAAGTCCGTTGAGAGATCCAGGAAAACCAACAGAGTCACACTCCTCCGATCAGCCTCCCATAATAGGTCCTCTAGCAGAGCGACCTGTCTCAGTCCCATCGTGCAGTCTGAACCCACTGTGTTACCTTTTCTTTTTAGCTCCTCCTCCTCCCCCATTTCTGGACATGCAATCTTCCAAAGACTGCACACATCATCTTCAGAACATTTCAAGTATGAAACTCAGTGGCCTTATGATATAAGCTTCTTCCAACTCCTGTGATTCTATCTTTTTTCATGTAGGATTTGTGTAGGGCAACGAGTGGATTTTTATTTATTCACACAGCTAGCTGCTTTTCGTTATTTATCACTCAAGTCGGTTCCTGCCATTATTGCTGCCTTGACAACAGGTTGTCTTTCCTGCACACACACACCCTTTCCTAGCCAATGCTTATCTAGCAGATTGCTACAGAAATGTTTGCGCAAAAACAAACTTAAGTCAAACACTTTTGTTTTAAAAATACATTGTCATGTGTGATAACAAACGTTCTAATTTAATTGACTGCAATACATGAGTACTATTTTCTGGCCTCTGTACACCGGTTGCTGTAGAATGTGAGACACAGGGTGTAATTGCTCTATGATAATAATTTGAGAACTGCAGGGATGGAAGGGACTCTATGGATCAACAAGCGGGCCCCTTTCACAGTGGGGGAACTGATTTCCCAACTTCTCGCTCTGCAGCGAGATACCGGAAACCAGTGACTCATAATTGGCTTATTGGCCCCCTGTAGACATCTGGATGGCCACTGGGTGGATCTAGACCGCCGGGCTGGAACCAGTGTTTCAGTGTCAGGTTTGAATCTAGGGAAGAAGATGTGACAGAGGAGTTGGTAAATTCTGGAAACTATAATAAAAAAAATTTCCTAGCTTTCACTTGTGCTACTTTCTCTAAGGTCTGATTGGCTGACCTTCATGATGACCAAACAGACTGTTGTGGTACAGGCTTGTCACCTGTCATGAGTTTGTCACTTCTTGTTCATTATCTGCACCTTCAACAGAGAGACGACTAGAAAGTTCAATGTCAGTGCTGCACATATGATCACCAAAAAGAAGCACAAAGAGAAAAGGCTGTTTTGCTCATTTAGGCAAACATTTAGTGGAGATGGCAGTGTGATAATCACAATTATTCAGCTGGGTTTTTCTTTATAATTATTCCACAGCTGTTAAATCATTCTGCCACCCCTATAGAAGAATGATGTATAACTGGAGATACCAGTTACTGAGACATTTTGAGTAAATGTGATACTGCCATTTTAACAAAATGGAAGAGAGATACAGTTGTGTGTCAGTTCTAATTGTACTGAATTCATATAATATAAGAAAGCAATATATTCCTAATGGACTTGCAGGAAATTCTTATTCCTAGTTTTTCCTGCCTTTATGAGCCAGCAGAATTTATCCAAAATTTCTGCGGTGTTCATCTGACCACACAAACCTTTTGGCAGCTGTTTATTTCCTGGGCCAAACTACATATGATATTCAGCCATATGTTTCATTTCCTTCACTCATTTTTTCTTCCAGTTAAGAAAGAGTCTTAAGAATCTCCTACTGACCTAGAGCAAGACAATTGGAGCTGTGCCCCAGGGCATCAAAATTTAGAGGGTGGCAAAATCTGGTGGCGAAATTACTGGTTAGTGTTAGGAAAAGAAATAGTACCTCCCAGCACTATTCACTCCCCCACCTTTTTTTTTTGAAAGCATAAAATGTATATTTCTTTTAGGGCATTGGTTCCCAACTTTGGGTAACCGGCATTCTTAGACCACAATTCCCAGAAGCCTTCACTACCAACTGTGCTGGCTAGGATTCTGGGAGCTGCAGTCCAAGAACAACTGGGTTAACAATGGTTGGGAATGACTTTTTAAGGGGAAAATACCATATTTTCCTTATCTTTTTTGTTCAAGGGGTTTTATGCCTATGCCTTAGGGTGGAATGTACAGTGATGTTTGTATAGGTGTCAACATTGTTGCTTACAATTCTGGCTGTTGAGACTGAAGAACAGCACAGGGAAGATTCCTTAAATGTCTCCTTCTGCTCTTTTGTCCACTCTGTCCTTTCAAGTAGCCATGTCACCCCATGGATGTAAAACTCGGAGCTCTTTTTTGTCTGCAGCAAGATCCGCAAGGAAGTGTTATTTGCATGCAAGGACTCATAATTTTTGTAAGATACAAGGTCTTTGCACAAAAAAACCACACCTCTGTGAAATGTTTACCAAAAAAGTCTAAAAACGCACCAGACGTTTGTAATCTTACTCAGCAGGAAGAAAACTCTTGAAATTTTCATTCTTATTTGTGGAAATTAAAAGAGAGGGAGAAGATGTACATACCTTTCATATCCATGAAAAGGTTAGAGTGTCAACAGCTACATAGGTTCTCTTCCATGTTGTGTGTCCGTTCCTTGAATCTCCCTCTTTTCCCTTTCTTAAGTTTAAAGCAAATATTGTGCTTACTTGTGGAAATGATAGGATACAGAATTGTATCAGCATAGTTGAACAGCAATGGAAATTCCTGTCTTAGAGGCAAGTTGTTTTTTGAAGCCTTCTTTAAAAAGTTCTGCTTTTATAAGTTTTCTGATGAGGCCTGGTGTATGTCTGATGGAAGTGAAGTCCAAAGGGACGGGGGCCACCACTGAGAAAGCCTGGTTCCTAGTTGCTGTTCTTTTACCCTCTGGTGTGGCCAAAGAAGCCAGGTCTGAGAAGAGAAGGCGTCATGAGTGGTAGTTCTTTGGGAGAGATGGTCCGACAGTTGCCAAGGTCCCAACATTCACCAGGACCATTGTGGAGGTGAAGAGTGTCATCTTCATCTGATGCTTTCTGACTGTGGATGCCAAAGACAACTCTGTTATGGCCAGCCCTACTGCAGAGATGGGTGTTGTGAGGTCTTGAGCCCCACCACACTTGCAAAGGTAGACTTGGCTTGGAGGATGGTAATTTGGGATACAGGACACATAGTAACAGATGATGATGAGATTTGGATCCATCACTCGGGTGTTGTGCACTTTCACATCAATTTCTTCCAGAACAGGGTTTCCTTTTCAAGCTTTGGGCAAGGGCCTGCAGATGTAAGGCATGGGCTCGTGGAGAAGTAGCAGCAGGAATAGTTTTGTGGGAGGTGACAAGACCTACAGACATGGTTCGCCTCTTGTGGTGAATTTGCTCATTGGAGTGGGACCAGGGTAAGGGAGACAGGTGGTTGGCGCTGTCCCAGATAAGATATTGCATCTGATGAGATTGGGGAACGGGGGACTAACAGGGGCATGTCTGGCATGGGAGCGCTGCCAGAGTCCCCCATAGCATATGGCAGTAGGCTGGCCTCTAGTAGTCTCGCATTCATATGCAGTTGACATTCTATCATCACATGACTGCCCAACACAGCACAGGCTGGGAGGATGCTGTGACTTACTACTTAAGATGCACCAAAGCTATTTTTGCTGTAGCCTATCCAAGCCATGTGCAGAGGACGTGGTGGCACTGCGGGTTAAATCGCAAAAGCCTCAGGGCTGCAAGGTTGAAAGATCAGCAGTTCGAATCCATGTGATGGAGTGAGCTCCTGTCACTTGTCTCAGCTTCTGCCAACCTAGCGGTTCAAAAGCATGTAAAATGTGAGTAGATAAATAGGTACCACCACGGTGAGAAGGTAATGGTGTTCCATGTCTAGTTGTGCTGACCACGTGACCACGGAAACTGTCTTTGGACAAACGCTGGCTCTATGGCTTGGAAATGGGGATGAGCCCCGCCCCTTAGAGTCGGACACGACTGGACTAAATATCAAGGGGAACCTTTACCTTTTACTATCCAAGTCATGTCCTTTAATCCACTTACAATTTTCTGTATCACCTATAATTTCTGTATTGCCCATAACTTTCCACCTCTCAGAGTTAGAAAAGATAGTGCAGTACCAGTTAATAATATTTTTGCAAGTAGAAAATAGAAAGCAGCATAAGATCCCAGCTGTGAAAGCCTTCGCGAATACAGCATAAGAAAATTCATGGAGGATTCAGTATTGTAGCAGTAAAAGTTAGAAATTTTTTATTAAGAAGGAGATAAGAGATCTTAATAATCTTAGAACTGCAGAGCTGGAAGGGGCCCTATGGATCACTGAGTCCAGCCTATGTCAAGGAGGCACCGTGGGGAATCAAACTCCCAACCTCTGGCCCTGCAGCCAGATGCCTAAACCATTGAGCTATTCAGCATTTGTTAAGAAGCAAAAAATAAAATAAATAAAATAAATAAAATGAATGATTTTGCCTCTCAATGAATAATTTTGGATATTGTCCTATACACGGCTAGCTAGAAGTAAGCCACACTGAACACAACTGGGTGTTACTTCTGAATTCACTTGGATAGGGTTGTGCAGCTAATTGATTGATTTGGAACAAAAACGGCCTGTTACGGGATTAATCGGTTTTCAATGCACTGTAGGTCAATGGAGACTTGACCTACAGACTTTTTGACTTGAGAACCGCCTTCCAATACGGATTAAGTTCTCAAGTCAAGACCCCACTGTAATTGATTGATCATATTTCTGGTCTACACCTTTTGCTGTGAAAGATAAGGGCCAGAAACTAGGAAAACAACAACCTAACAACTGCATTCGCGAAGGCTAACCTAACAACTGTCAGTAGAAAAAATTAACCAATTATGGACCCCACTGTAATTGATTGATCATATTTCTGGTCTACACCTTTTGCTGTGAAAGATAAGGGCCAGAAACTAGGAAAACAACAACCTAACAACTGTCAGTAAAAAAAAATTAACCAATTACATCTTAGAACTATTAACCTTCTCCTCATTCCAGTGCATCTGGACATCACCAGCTGGTGGAAGGAGAGAGAAAAAGCCAAGCCCTCATACAATACTGTGATGTACTCCCTGCTTCTGAATGGTGAGATTTTCCATTACACTAGTGCAGACCTTGCTTTGGATAAAAAGGCAATGAAAAATTAGGATCTTTGTAATATATGTGTTATTTGTAAATAAACAAGCAGAGACTTTTCAAAGGGAGCAAACTTCTGAAAGTGGGCAATAGGTGCACCAGCTATGCCCAACCTGTCCATTTTATAGGGAGGACAGCAGTATTGCAATGTGCTTTACCTTCAGCAACCCCTCACTTCCCTGAAAACTGCATTCCTAACTGTACCCCTATCCTTTTTGTTTTTTGGAGAGAATCACTTTCTGAAAAACAACAACAAACAGTAAATAACAGCTCTATGTTTAATTTTTATTGCAATCTGAAGAAGTAAACATCACCTCCAATAAAGTAACTTAACCAATATTATAACTGTATAGTTGCAAATTCTCACTACAATATCTTAATTCATTAGTGACAGTAATTGTGAGAGGAATGTATGGCTAGAAAGAGTACATAAATCTTACTTTGCCATGTACAATCAAAACAGCAGTGTTTATATGAGTTCATAGAGGAAGAAAAATAATAATCCTAAATGATTATATTAAAATATTTCACAGCTTTAGGAAAAAATTACCTAAATCTGTGAAAATGGAATACATCTTGAAAACAACAGAAATGAAGATCAAATATAAGAAACAACAATTTGAAGATAAATTAAACAGCTGGGAAAATAAACCACTGCATGGACAATATCTGAGAAATACTGATGGAAAAGATGATAATAATTTAACTTGGGCATCATCAAGAAAGAATTCAATTCAATTGGTCATCCTACTTCTACCAATTTAAAACATAAGTACAAATAATAATATATACACAAGCATGGTGCCAGCTGAATAGACACAATGCTATCAGATTAAAAAGTGCAAATACAAATACGTACAGTCTCCAAAATGCTGGGTTAAAAGCAAAATACAAAAAGATTAAAATATAATTTCAATGTTAAAAACCAAGTCATTTCATGTGGGTCTTCAGATGAGGTATGAGGTATTCCCACAACACAGAAGTTTATTATAGTCACTGGCCATTGATGATATACATTAAAATGCACAATAAAATGATATAACAGTAGTAAGGTGGTACATCTGATAAACTATATAGACTCTAATCAGCTTTATATCCTACACCATACCTCTAGTACTTCCTATTCTACCCGTATTATTTAGCCAGTTATCCCTTAGTTTTAGAAAGAAACCAAAAGCTTGATCTTTGCTGCACAAGAACAAGCAATCCGAACTGGACTGGATGACATGCCTAAATTCAGGCAACAGCCATATAGAATAGATTAAATGGCAATGTTACCCAAGAGCGGCTTAGCTATCTTGGCATCTGTGAGAGTGGGCAGGTGCACACCTCTAGCATGCCGTCAAGTAGCAGGTAACCAGTCAGGTTGGCTGGAGGGAGTCCGTGCAGCTGCAGGAGAGACATTGTCCTGATGAGAAATAGCTGGAGGGATCAGGGTCAAGAGAAATAAAAGAGCAGAAATAGGCAGGCAAGGGGTTACCACCTGTCTTAAAAGAAGAGGATGTATGGGAGGTTGCCAGAAGCTGTCTACCCTCACCAGGTTTATTGATTGGTGACAGGAGCCAGGCTCTGGAGGACTCAGCTATGTCCTTGCACAAGGCTACATTAGCCTGAACAGTGCCATAGCTCTGAAGAGGCAAGTGAGGGAAGGGACTAGGAGGGACAAACTGCAGAATCTGAGTTCTTGTGCTCATTTATGCAAGTCTTCTCTCAAAGGGATGTGTTCTGGACCCAAGCTGTCTCCTCCATTATGCCTTCTAAAACCTGGACTCTGGGGGAATTCCAGTGAACTAACTGGGCCCCCAAGCTGACAAGTAGTTTAGAGGTTGTAATTCAATCCTACATAACTGTGGGGAGAGGGAAGACGGAGGGAACTGATGCCGTAACTCTAATAAAAAATGATATGAGTCAAGAAACTGAGCTGGAGCCCATGGAGTTTTTAACAGGGGATATTAAGAAGGTGTGTGTAGTGGGGTGCACAGTATCTAAAGCACAAAATCCAGAAATGCCACTCCTCATCCCTGGAAATACAAATTGAGTCATGCTATATCAAATAAGACAGAGATTGCTGCCTTTTAACTGTCTCTGTTTTGAAAGAGCCAGCTGATGGTCTAAATCACTGGTTCTTAACCTTGGGTTACTCAGGAGTTTTGGACTGCAACTCCCAGAAGCCTTCACCACCTGCTGTGCTGACTGGGGTTTCTGGGAGTTGCAGTTCAAAAGCATCTGAGTAACAAAGGTTAAGAACCACTGGTCTAAATGAGCACTGGATGATGTGTAAAAAATCTGAACAAAATCTTACCCAATCAGATAAAAAATGTGTCATGAACTTCAGGTTTTCCTTAAATGTATGACACTCTTGATTCTCAAATTATTCAATTGTAATTTTGTTTCTATCATCATTCAGTATGTAAGCTAATTAGTAGATTAAGTGATATAAATTCAGATGATTATTTATCCTCTGTTGTTCCAGGTGGAGTCTTAACAACTGGAAACATCTTCTGGGACCAATTAATTCTGTGTTTATCTGGAAATTAATTCAGTGTCAGTTAATTAAGCCTTAATAGGGAGTCTTATACAGAAAGAATGTAACATTTACTTTTGACTCCTTTCTTTCTATTCCACCCCACACCAAGGAACAAGATACAACAATATTTTGTGAATTCAAGACCATGTTAATACATTCAGAGGCCTTAAGCTGATCAGGTTAAGTGACCTCTTAACATGAATAGAAAATATACATTATTCTGTCAATTTTATAAAAATTGAAATTTACCAGAAAAGATTTCCAAAGATTCCTCATAATTTGAGAACTACTCTGAAGACAAAGAGGCTATTCTGTCTAAGTAACCTGTCCATATAATCTTGAACCTGAATCTTTTCCAATTTTCCTTTATTATTGTGGTTGTTGTTTTTTCTTTTTTTTTATTTTAGAGGAAAAACATTACATGTCATAAAGGTTTTGATGAAACCTGCTGTCTTGCATTTACATTTTATGTGTATAATGTTTTTGCCAGATCCCATCTGCATAGAATCAGCTGCTCCCCTGTTGCACTACCACATCGTAAATATGTCTTCCTTGCTTTAAGAAATGTTTCCTTGTGGCCAACTTACCTCTTAGAAATGTTTTTGTGTCAGCAGAGAACCCATATAGCAGAATCCGTTAATTTACTCCAGGTGATAGGCCAACCCATAATGAACAATTAATCCAAATCTACGAATGCTCCCACTGCTCCTGTCCCTTTGGTTTAAGATTTCAGTGATTCGTGAACTTCAGTCTAGGCATAAAAAAAGCCTGACCAGTTTTTGTAGCACTTTTGAAAGGGGAGAAGTAAGTTGTTTATGTTACTGTGACTTCAGTGATTGTGTGGCCTTTTGTCTTGGACAAACATTAGGGATGGAGAGTGTCCCCCCCCCCGCCGCATGTTTCGTCAATTAAGCTGTTTAAATGCTTTAGGCTTCAGTCAGTGGGTAGTGAGGAGGCAGTTGTGATAATAGCCCCATAGCCACACCCCCAAGGAGAGTTCAAAAAGGCATGTGCGTGTGTGGAAAATTCTTCTAAGTTCCTATTGCCTTATAAAGAAGAACAAGATGTGTAAACTGAATTTTATCCCAATTTCTCTGAAAAGGTCTTTGCCACATTTTGATGTGTCTCTGTTCTGCACCAAAAAGGAAGCATGGTCTTCTATAGAACTGCTGGATAACTCAACAACTTAGGCATCTGCCTATGGAGTCAGAGGATAGGAGTTCAATTCCTGCTGTACCTCCTTGACAGGGGCCAGACTTGATTCATAGGGACCCTTCCAGTTCTGCATATAATGATGATGATGATTGATTCATAGGGTCCCTTCCAGTTCTGCATATTATGATGATGATGATGGTGATGATATAAAGACAGTGGAGATGGTGCTTAGTGATTGGAAGCTGCTTGTTTTACAAGTTTCAGAGCAATCTAATCTACATTGTTGTTGTTTAGTCGTTAAGTCATGACCGACTCTTCGTGACCCCATGCCAGGCCCTCCTGTCTTCCACTGCCTCCTGGAGTTGGGTCAGATTCATGTTGGTATCTTTGATGACACTGTCCAACCATCTCGTCCTCTGATGTCTCCTTCTCCTCTTGCCTTCACTCTTTCCCAACATCAGGGGCTTTTCCAGGGAGTCTTCTCTTCTCAGGATCTGTCCTTCCAGTGAGGACTTAGGGATGATTTCCTTCCGAATGGATAGGTTTGTTCTCCTTGCAGTCCAGGGGACTCTCAAGAGCCGCCTCCAGCACCACAATTAAAAAGCATCAATTCTTCAGTGGTCAGCCTTCTTTATGGCCCAGCTCTCACTTCCGTACATGGCTACTGGAAAAACCATAGCTTTGACTATGCGGACCTTTGTCAGCAAGGTGATGTCTCTGCTTTTTAAGATGCTGTCTAGGTTTGTAATCGCTTTCCTCCCTAGAAGCAGGTGTCTTTTAATTTCATGGCTGCTGTCACCATCTGCAGTGATCATGGAGCCCAAGAAGGTAAAATTTGTCACTGCCGCCATATCTTCTATTTGCCAGGAGGTGACGGGACCAGTGGCCATGATCTTAGTTTTTTTTTTTTTGATGCTGAGCTTCAGACCATTTTTTGGTAATCTACATTACCAAAGGTGAAATCTGAAACCTGCTACCTCTGAGCAGGCTCCGCAGACACCATTTGGAAATTGCTTTAAATAAAGAAATACCGGCACGTCTGGCCATGATCTCTGGTACTTTAATGATTGCTTCTGTACCACTCTCTGCTCTATAACGCCTAGCCTGGTGAAGGGTCCTACAGGAATCAAAGGTCAGCTTCTGTTTGTAAGATTCTAGTGTTCTAATAAAGGTGTCACCTGCCCTTGTCTCTGGATTGTGTACAAGGATCATACAGTTTTTCTGTTTTTGCTGTGACATTGTAACAGGGGGGGCAGAAGTCAGAAAG